AATTGAATTCAAAACGAGGCATAGCATGTTTGATAGCCGTAATATAGAGTATCAAAACCCTGATAGGATGAATTTAAGTGGATGGATCTTCGTTTCCGAAATATTGCGATGCAAATTAAGAGTCGAGAGTCTTGTTCAAATTATATATTTATTTTTTTTCATATTATGCACAGTGCAAAACGTTCAACACATCATGTCCATAATGATTGTAAACAGTATGTTTTCACATTATTTTCCATTATCGCGAAGTGATACGGCCCTAATTGCTCACAAAACAATTATATCGATGCAGAAATACAAAATATAAATTATACAAGTATACATATACAGGGCGTTTCACACTCCCCTCCGGGCATTTTGTGGGGACGTAGAATGTGTTGATGTAAACATAAAAGTCCTATATAGTTTTGCGAAATTCGCAATAATAGTCGAGATATTAATTAAAAAAGATTAAGGAAAAACGCACGCTGAATGATAGAGAACGGACCGCTCGAGTCACAGCGCGGTCCAGTACTAAAACGCGCGGATGTCGCGCGCGGTGATTGGAAGACAATGCACCACTGCCTATACTTATACCGCTGCGCTCCTACGTCTTGCCGCACCGCGCCGAGATAAGAATAGGCAGTGGTGCATTGTCTTCCAATAACCGCGCGCGATATCCGCGCGCTTTATTACTGGGCCGCGCTGCGACTCGAGCGACCCGTCCTCTACCATGCAACGTGCGTTTTTCCTTAATCTTTTTTAATTATTATCTCGACTATTATTGCGAATATCGCAAAACGGTATAGGACTTTTATGTTCACATCAACCCATTCTACGTCCCCACAAAATGCCCGGAGGAAAGTATGAGACACTCTGTATATCCGACAGTACAAAAAAAAACATTGCACGTCGTCGCCTCGTCGGCCGGACTCGAACGATCGCCGCTGGCGCAAAAAGAACCGGCGCAAAAGCCTTAGACTGCTTAGCTACGCTGCTGCGGTAAAAATCCGTGCCACATTATGCCTTATATGCGGCACGGCTCCGTGACTCTCACTTTGCATCGCAATATTTCGAAAACAAAGATCCATTTACCCAAACCTTTTTAGGATTTTGATACTCTATATATATTGCGGCTATCAAACGCGCTATGCCTCGTTCCAAAATCAATTTTGCAGTTGGTGTCATCTCCTTGTAAGTCTGATAGATTTTTTTATAATAAAAAAAAAAATTTTTACAATAATGATATCATTAATTACATAGATATACACGGATTTTTTGGTGAAATAAATCATTTTTTATGTTTTTCTGTGTGCTAAATTCAAATTTGATCGCAGAATTTGTCTATTACGTTAGAATCTTAAGATATTTTAATGTCAAAACGAGAAACAGGCATTTATTAAGATTTTTGAATTCCAATAACAATTAAACAAAGCAAAATAAGTTAATTTTATCAATAGGATCGTATTCAACATGAAAAAATCTATCGAAAACCATATATTTTCCTGGAGAAAAAAAATATTTTTTATCCATAGAGATAAATAACTTGACCTAATGTGATCACGTTTTAGGCAGATGTAAATACATCAAATATTTCAAGTATACGGATCGATTCTCGTACAAACATGGTCCTAACGAAAATAAAACGCTTTACAAACCGTTCGATGAGAGTTTCTTAAGAGTTTATACGCTTTCAAACTTTGTTAAACGCTTACTCAACGCTGTTGGATTTTAAACGCTTTTAGAACGCTTATCAAATGCTGTATATAATATTTCATGAAAGTTCTGCAATGCTGAAGCAACGCTTTTCAAAGTACGCTCAATAAACGCTGATACACCTTCGTGCAGAAAGTTTGCTATCAGACTTTTTAAACGTTTAAGAAACGTTTTTCCCAATATCACAAGCGTTTTCTCTCCGTTCAGCAAACGCTCTTCCAATGCGGCGAATTGTAGGATGTTTACACAAACAGCTTCGAAACGCGCAAGAAACGCTTTCATGAAAAAAGTTTATAGACCAAATATAAGATGTTTATATCAATCGAAGAAGTAGTGTAATGTCTAAAGCAATGGACTCATAATCTAGAGGTGCCAGTCGGTTCATGTTCGAGTCCCCTTAGTGCCAGTGATAATTTTTAAATATGATGTAACATTGGAATCAAGTAATCTTAAATTTTCAAGTAAAATTAGAAAACACTATGACATTTAGGAATAATTCCTAAATATAAAAATACGAATAGTTTCTGTATATAAAAAAAATATCTGAAATATTTCTCATATTTTTGAAATTTTTAAGTAATATTTCAGATACATATCAGATAGTATATTATAGCGGACATTTTATGTATCTGAAACATATCTCTAAAATATTTTTTTTAAATGTTTCATATTTTATTGAAAGCTTTTTGAAAGCTTTCTGAAATATGTCGGTGCTGTGTAGGAAAAGTAAACGCCATACAAACGCCTGTAAAGTCTCAAAAACGCTATATACAAACGCCTTTCAAACACTGTAATGTTGCAATTTCCTCTCTACGAACTCTGTACTGACAATTTCTAAACTCTCAACAAACTCCCACAAACGCTTACGTAAATGCTAAACAAACGTTTATGAAATTTCTTATTTTCGTCAGGGAACACCTTTCAAACGCTGTAATGTTGCAATTTCCGCTTTACGAACTCTGTACTAACAATTTCTAACTCTCAACGAACTCCCGCAAATGTTTACATAAACGCTGAACAAACGTTTATGAAACTTCTTATTTTCGTCAGGAGATACCCTTAAGTTTATGGGATTGCTGATTACAAATCTGAAATTGAAAATTAGTGAGTAAAGTAAGTAGCAATTATGACAATAAGAATGGGACATACAAAGGAAAATAAAATAAAGATTATAGATATTATCGATTGAGCCTGTCATATTAGATTTGAATATTTCAAATTTTCGATCCCAGATTCGCAATCACCAGTGCTAAAAACCTTGGGATACAACAGTTTACGAGAATTGATTCAGCGCGCTTAAAAAGTATACCCATACAGAACAAATATCCAAAATATATCTCATGGATATCCTATAGATATCATGATATCTATAGGATCTGTATTTCGGATATTTGTTCTGTATAGGTTTACATCTGCCGAAAACGTGATATTATTAATAGGTAAAATTATTTATTTCTGTCGATAAAAAATATTTTTTCTCTCTAGAAAAATATACGATTTTCAGTAGATTTTTTATGCTAAATATGATCTCGGTAGAATTCACATATCTCTTCTTAATTTCGTTATCTTAACTCGTTATCTTAACTCGTTATCTAAACCTTCAAAAATGGCATTTTTCATGCTTTTAAATTAGAATATCTCGAAATCCTAACGTGATATGAAAATTATGTGATCGGATTTGAATTCAACGCATTAAAAAACATAGGAAACGACTCTTTATTTTAAAAAAGGGTTCAAGACCCCTTAATATACAGGCCTGTGTTATTTATATTCAATAATAATTTCATTATAAATCAAAAAGTAAAAGCAAAGGACTAATAGGAGTTCAGACACGGACATTGTAGTGCTATAAAACCAATGAATATAGGTGAGAGTTCCCTGTTTTTGAATTGCAATATGGTACTTGTGAAGTCTCATATGTTGGGTAAACAAATAGAAGACTGTCTACGCGTATTTTAGAACATAAAAAATTCCAAAAGGAACTTCTACAGATTTGATTGTTGTTCAAGAACATCGGTTAAGTGACAATCATGAGTTCAATTAAGATCATGTAAAAATTTTACACAAAGAACGCTTTTATTTAGAACGACTAGTTGTAGAAATAATTTTTATTAAATTACAAAAACACGGACTTAATTCGCAACAAGAAGCTTAATATTTAGGCAACGGTTATTGTAAGTTATTTCGATGAGTTTTGATTTGTCTCCTCTTACACGTTCAGCGATGTGTATCTCTTTCCTGATATGTATGTATATAAGCAGTTTGTTTGTACTGATGCCGAGACTTGGAGGATTATCTGCGATAATATCGGTCTTGCCTCAAGATTTAACCTTTACACTACGCCCAAGGTAACTTGCTACCGGTTATTCGAGTTTATCTTCTAAATTAAAAATTTTTCTTGACTTTTATGTTTTCAATTAGACAAAACAACCGCTGTACCCGACTAAGTATAATAGTTATTCGCTTCTGCAAAACGTGATCAAGTTTTTTTATTAAGTCAAGTTATTTATTTCTGTGGATAAAAAATATTTTTTCTCTCTAGGAAAACGTATGGTTTTCGATAGATTTTTTCATGCTGAATACGATCGTGTTGGTAAAATTAACGTATTTTGCTTTGTTTAATTGTTATTGGAACTAAAAAATCTCAATAAATGCCTTTTTCTCGTTTTGACATTAAAATATCTTAAGATCCTAACGTGATAGACGCTTCTGCGAATAACTATTTTTATGGACGGTGAAGGCAAGTTTCGACACAGACTGAAATTAACACCGTTTTTCGAATTTTATGTCTTGCAATTTATTCCTTCCAGTCTCGGTTGCTAACAATCTTAAGATCTGTTTTGTAAAACAAATGCCATTTTATTTTTAATTACTTGTTACACTAAAAAGGGTCTACGGACCGAAACGTTTGATGTTACGATTTAAATTTCAATAAATTACTTTGTTTCTCAAAAACAAGGAAGTTTCACCTATAGGTTTTATAGCACTACAACTTCTGTGCCTGAACTCCTATTAGCCCTTTGCTTTTACTTTTTGATTTATATCTTTGGAGTTCTCTCTCTTTTTTTAACATTTTCATTATAAATGTACAACAGTAATACTAATCATAATTATTATTATAAAGATAGAATAATGATAAAAAAAAGTGAAATAATATAAATTAGTAGAAACAAGTAAATGATAAAACTGAATGAAAAATATAAAAAATACTAGTTAATATTTCTAAAATATAAGTTAATATCTTTGGTTAATATCGCCTGTCTTTGGTTATTAAAAAAAGAACAAATAAAATAAGATGTACTTACCAGTAACCGCAGCCGCCTCGCTACCTTCTTCATTAACTTCAATGAAAGCCTTTTGCACGACTTTAGATATTTTCAAAGGTATCGCTGAAATATTGCTGAAGTTCGCATTATCAGAGAAAGGTAAAGAAAGGCCCATCTGAAACAAAAAGTACTGCGTATCAGTTATTGCTCGTCAGCGCATAATAGACGATTGTCCGTGTACTACATCGCACCTTGTCAGACAACATATCTTTAAGATTTAACTCAGACTCGATTTTAAACTTGGGCAAGTATAGCTTGACTTCGCGCTCGTGAATTTCACTGAGATGCGTGTTGCAAGCTTCAGTAATGGCATCGAGATTGTTGGTCAATGCGGTCAGACCATCGATTTCATTGGGCAGAATAATTACCATGCTGACCTGAGTATTCTGTAATAATAATAAACAACATATAAGCATTCAAAACATCGCAAAATTTGCACAAGAAAAAAGGGAGAAAAGGAAGAGAAAAAAAGGATTCTGATGGAAATATTTTGATATATTGATATTCTACTGAAAATATAATGTGTGTAAAATTATATTGAAATATGTATTAAAAATTTGCATCAATTTAATTACCATTTCATTATTATTTTGTTAAAATTTCAATAAAAAAATCAATAAAATTCATTATAAAAGCTAAATATATTGATATCTTTTTTTAACGAAAATTTAATAAAATTTCTTCAATGGTTTAGTAATTATTTGATTAACTACTATTATTATATAATAAATTTATTATGTTAAATTTAAACAAACATACATGATCCATAATCCAAATAAACTAATGTTTTATAATTTTGTTTAAACAAAAAAAAATATGGAATTCTATATTTTAGTCACTACACTTATACATGTACATTCCAGCATGGATTCAATCTAATAATAATTATCCATCATTTTTATAACCACAATTCATGTTATTTGATTTAAATGATCGAACAGGAACTAAGGTAAATGTACCAATATCCGGACATTGTTATTATTTTTATATTTGAATATGAATATTTCAACTTTCAACGTACAATATATACATATTGATATACATACATTTAATATTTATATTTAGTGTACGTTGAAAGATGAAATATTTAGAGAAATATTCAAAATAATAAGAGTGTCCGAAATTAGGTACATGTCCGGGCATTGGGACATTTACCTTAGTAATGCTAATGAGAGTTTCGATAATATCTTTATAAATTATAATATATTCTTATATCATTCAAAGTACTGTAATGATATATTTCCCTTTTCTTACAATTATTGATAATTAGTCAAAAAATAATAGTGATCAATCACTTAGTAATTTAGTGATTATTTGACGAATTACTATATATGTTACTTTTTGTTGAATTTCATGTATTTTTCATGAATTGTTGAATTTTCACAAATTTACTTATTGAAATGTTCCAGATAATATAATGTTTGGTTATTTTGTTTAAATAATAAAAAAATTTAGTATGTCATATTTTGCATCGCTGCATAGTTTCAATCCTGTAACGGATCACCTATCTTTTTCTCATACCGCGCTATTTACTGCTTAATCTGAATACCTTTATAAAAAAAATATTACTGGTAGTTACTACAGAAATAGTAATGATCAATTATTGCTTAGTAATTCAGTGATTATTTGGCGAATTACTATATATGGTATATTTTTGGTTGAATTTCCACAAATATACTTATTAGAGTGGTCCAAACAATCTAATGTTTATTTTGTTTACATAATAGAAAATGTATTTTATATCTTGTTTGCGTTACTGCATGGTTTCGATTCTATGATGATCACTCATTCCTTTCTTAGTGCTATCTGCTGCTTAATCTGAATAATCGAACTGAAATTAATGGTGCCAATGAGTTATAGCAAAATTTTACTCAATTATGCTTATAATATGCTCTTGTATCATTCAAACAACATTGTAATAGCATATTTATTGACAAATGATACAAACAACGCAACGACAATCGAAGTGTGACTGGTATTGTTATAATATATACCAGCGAATCCCATTAACGATATAATTACTTTTAGATTATATAATCTAATTATATATTCGCTGCTTTTATAAAAAAAGCAGATATAGCGCGTTACTGGTTCGTTAATACATTATATTAATTCCAGTAACCAAGGAACATTAAATTAACGTTTAGAAACGTTGACTTCATGTACATTGTTTGGACATTTTTCAATAATATTGCATTTATATTTTTCACACGTTATTTTGTGATATAATTTTCCTGAATGTTGTTTAAACATTTTAAAAACATTACAAAAAATATATTTTTTAAATGTTACTTTAACATTTATTTGAGATCAATGCAACATCTTAAAAATATTTCTGCCGATTAAAACGTTATAGCAATCCTATTTCAACATTATTGAAACTTCCAAATCGCAGACAAAGTATGTTCATAATGATGTTTGATATAATATTAAACACTATATATTTGACAATATTATAGGTTCTTCAATATCATTGTAGCAACGTTGTATTAATGATTTCTTGCTTACTGGGATATTTATCGCATACTGATTGCTGTTGCGTTATTTCCATCATTTATCATCGTAACCCTTATACAAAAATATTATTGATTAGTCACTAATAAATTGTTATTACTCAGTAGTTTTATTACCAGTGGCTAATGATTTTGAGTATTTAAATTACTAATACTACAGAATAATTAAGTGATAGTGATAATCACTGATATATTATTAGGTTCTTGTGATGAATTATTAGTATAAATTATTCCCTAATAACAAGAAAGATAAAACATCAATTTTTCCATGATTAATATAAATTGTTTCATATCTTTTCATATTAATTTATTGTTTTTTTAGTTCGTTATAATGTTTAGTTAAAAATATGAAAACTATTTGTCGTTAATGATTCCCTTATAGAAACTTAATACTGATAAGTGGTAATTTGGCTAGTAATAATTACTGTTGTTCAATAATTTTATTACTCGTATGAGTAATAAAATTGCTATTTATTACTGGCCAATTTATCACTGCCAGTGATACTTTTCTATAAGGGATACATTATATTAATATCAGTCGCATACAGATTGTTGTTGCAGCGTTTTCAAATTTTATAAATTCAATAAATATGCTATTACAATATTGTTTGAACGATACAAAAGCATATTATAAACATCGTCCACTAAGGAATCGTTACAACTCATTGGCATCATTAGCCCCAATTCGACTACTCTTACAGAAAAGTACTACTGGTTAGTCAGTAATAAATTACTGTTACTTACAAAGGGAGGACCAGGTGACTCACCCTGAGATTTCGACCCCAATTTTTTTAATTATTCTGGAGATGAAAAAAAAATAACGTGTCCCGGCGTTTGATTGAATAGGCCTTAGTTTCGGAGTAATAAATTTGTGAAAATTGGCCATATCCGAAGCGCATCGCGGCGCGCCATATGAGCTTTCCCGGTAACTGTACTTCCAACCAGTGCAGTTGGCTTCGTGAGTTAGGTGCTTGCTTCATAATTCGTAAGATCCAAGTTCGCTCCCGGAGGTAAGCAATAATTTTTTTTTTAATGAGTGTTTTTATTTATTTTTATTTATTTTGATGATATTGATATAGTATGCAAATTTTTGAAATAGAAAATTTAATTTAATATCATATTCTAAACATTAATTTAAATTTAATTTTAAGGGAATTTTAATTCAAGTAATAATATTTAAAATAATAAATAAGTAATAATAATAATATATAAGTTATTTGTAATGGATAACATATAAAGGCAACGTATCTAAATTTTCAAATTGTTTAAATTTAATACCGAAAAACTTAAAAACTTTATCCAAAGAATCCAAAATTCTGTTGAAGTTTTACACAACCAGCAGCTCTCTTCGCGAGAAGACGCAATAAAGATTCATTTTTTAATTCATTCACAATTATCATCGGGAGCTTTTACAGATATGATCAAGTACGCTTGGTTTGCATCGAAATTAATTCCTGAAAGAAATGTGTTTCGAAACGTCAACGAAATATGTTTCTCCCCGGACTTACGGAAAAATAAATGTGTATGTGATACTCCTTCATTTATTCATTGTGCAAACTGTAGAAAATTTATATGATTTAAATGTTTTTATGATGTTTATCATCCAAGTAATTGTTCCGCACCGAAATAATTTAATTTTGTAATAAATCCGCAATACTTAAATAATTGAATTTTGTAATAAAAATATTCACATTCACATTCCAGATGTTTGTTTATTCTTCTTCTTCTACGATTAATTATTTTAAAAACTAGAAATTTAAAATACTGTTAATATTATTTTCAATTAAATTTTAAATTTAAACAATTTGAAAATTTAGATACGTTGCTTTTATATATTATCCATTACAAATAACTTATATATTATTATTATTACTTATTTATTATTTTAAATATTATTACTTGAATTAAAATTCCCTTAAAATTAAATTTAAATTAATGTTTAGAATGTGATATTAAATTAAATTTTCTATTTCAAAAATTTGCATACTATATCAATATCATCAAAATAAATAAAAATAAATAAAAGCACTCATTTAAAAAAAAATTATTGCTCACCCTCCGGGAGCGAACTTGGATCTTACGAATTATGAAGCAAGCACCTAACTCACGAAGCCAACTGCACTGGTTGGAAGTACAGTTACCGGGAAGGCTTATATGGCGCGCCGCGGTGCGCTTCGGATATGGCCAATTTTCAAAAATTTATTACTTCGAAACTAAGACCTATTCAATCAAACGCCGGGACACGTATCATTTTTTTTCATCTCCACAATAATTAAAAAAATTGGAATCAAAATCCCAGGGTGAGTCACCTGGTCCTTCCCTTGTCAGTAGTTTTATTACTAATAGTAAATGATTTGGAATATTTAAATTATAGGATTACTAATACTACAGAATAATGCAATGATTACGGTGATTACAGTGATAATCACTAATGTATTATTAGGTTCTCTCCTTACAGAAAAATATCACTAGTCATTACTAAAAAAAACAGTAGTAATTATTTTTCAGTGATTCAGTGATTATTTGGCGAATAACTATATATGATATTTTTTTGTTGAATTTCCACAAATTAATCTATTGGAATGATCTAAAAAATGTTATGCGTAATTATTTTACTTAAATAATAAAAAAATGTATTTCAAATTTTGTGCGTTGCTGCTGTTTCAACTCTGTAGAGATCACTCATGCTTTCTCGTACCACACTATCCACTATTTAATCCAAATGATTGAACTCATGGTGCCAATGAGCTGTAACAATACTTTGCTGAATTATGCTTATAATATGCTTTTGTATCATTTAAATAACATTGTAATGGCACATTTATTGATAAATGCAAATAACGCAATAACAATGGGAGTGTAACTGATATTGT